GGTCCCTTCAAGGAAGAGTTTACATTCTACGAATGTCAGTGACTAGATGAACTTGGAAGACAAATAAGTTGATAATTTGTCCATGCGGAAATTCGGAAAAAACCTATCTTAAAGTGCGGGAGGGAGCTGTTTCTCCGAAGAACAGTACAAACAAATGTCCCGTAGAGTAAGCAAGACAGGCCACACGTGGCCACCTACCGCAACCAGTAGCTTCGGGCTGCTTCATGAATAAAAGGTGTAACTCCATGGCTGAATAAGACATTGTTCCATCGGCTTTTGTGACCGACTCCCTCTGCGTGACATACAGGAAAATTTTAGCACACAGCCTCCAAAATGACGAATTCCATCTAACCTGTCGCGTCATTTCCGTACAATTCATTAGTCCTCATTGGTTTGTCCTCTCACCTGATCATAAAGGACTAGCCATGTGATTCTTTCGTTAACTCCTTCTCCACCACTAACCAGGAACTGTAAACAGAACGGGGAAAATGATATACTGCGTGTCTCCGTATCATCAATCCGACTCTTGTTTGAACGGTCGTCCCCCTGTCCTGGCGTAATTATTCCGGTGAGTCCACACCAAAGGGCGTAAGCACTGGACTCGAGTTTCGATCTTATTATAGTTCATCAGCAGTGGATATCCTATCGATTCACCAAAATTCGCCGAAAAAATCGGTGATTTTCTGACGATTAGTCTGTACTGAAGTAAACTTTAAATTAAATTACTTTAACCGTTCACTTGTAACACCGCTTTGTTGCCTAGATGGCATTCCGCCCGAAGGACTGGGACACCGCCAGGTTGCCCAAGGCTAGACAGGGAAGTCAATAGGCAAAGGTCAGGTTCGATCCACAGACCTCCGGTCAGTAAATCCGCGCCCTTACCCATGAGCCATCTGTACTGAGGTAGCACAGTTGAATTGTCTTCAACGACCTGAGTAGCGAAGCATACGAGTTCTGCTCTGCTCCAAAACTAACAGCGTGTTCAACCATTCATGGGGCTCACGAGTACAATTTGTTCTACCTCGCTCGGTCTACACTCTTTAAATTTAGGATAAAATGCAAGAATGCAGTGAATCGGGCCCAGGAGGGCTATCTTATCGGTGGTGAAGATGAGTGTTGCTTGGCACGTAACTCACTGAGACGAAGTCAAACATTTCAGTAGAGAATTTGCATGCTAACCATGTGAGAGAAGAATCTTGTGTTGCTTCAAGATTGCGGATGCTGTTTGCAAATAGCTTGGGTGCTTGGAGAGTTTTCATTTGCAAACAGAGTTGACAGTTCAGTTCGTACAACAATATTATGTCTTACGATCAATTCGTACCGGTTGTTGGGGTTCTCGTTGCGGAACTTCGGGTGACGTGCAGATTCGACAATCATGAACGTCAAAAGGAAGAATTGGGTTCGAAATTCTACCAATTGTCACAGGTGTAAGCGACATTGTCCACATTCGTGGCGTCAACAAGTGTACAAGTCTGTCACTGACCGGTATAGTGCAGTGCCGATGACCGCACGCTGGACAGTAGTGTGCGGAGTGTTGGCTCACTAGTGTTGGTTGTGATCGTCCCTTCCGATGGCGGTCTCGTGTTTCCCATTGATCCGCGATATCATCGCGCGGAACTCATGAGAAAACAAATCAAGGCAGGCTCATGAGGTGGGACACAAACGAGCATGGGTACGTAGGTCAGTTGTGAACCTTCACGTACCTTCACAACTGTCGGACGGGACTTCCTTGGCGACAAGGTGAGTGGCGGGTACAGATAAGCCAAACAGGTGTAGAGTCAAAAGTACATGGGCGGAGAAAGCAAGTGAATGGGGGAATTGTCATGAAGTTAGTTACATTCAATACCAGTTCCAGCACAAAATGGATCACGCCAACCTGTATGTCCACCATAGTTTCTGTGGTCGAATCGTTAGTTGATCCGGAAAAAAGTTTCTTCTGAAACTCCAATAGAAACTTCCAGACCTGAGTAGTTCACGACCGGAACAGATTTCGCCATGTATAGAATTATCTAATGCAAGCAACAATGCAATGGCTTTTCTGTTTCTACATTGCTTGTGGATAGTGTGTTAACAGAATGAGTTCCACCTCACAAACACAATTGGACACACGCGCACAACCTCGTCGCGTTTCAGCTCAAATAAGTGGGAAGCCAAATGAGTTGACATTCCGAGTTTTTGACCTGTCAATACACTCAGGTGGTTCGGTTGAAATTTAGATTGGTCGAAACATCTCCTTACCAGAGTTGTCTTATGATTAGTTCACACTCTACACAAACGGGCTCACGTTGTACACTGGGACATACACGGGGATCTAACTCGAAGTGGTCTTCGACACCCCACAACTAGTTTCACACTCCTTCGTGCCCATAAGATCGGCGCAACGTTAAGACCATTACAGGTCGTCAAATGTACAGAACCAAGTGGAACCACTGCGTAGAGATCCGCTGAGAAAGTAGCGAGTGGAGTCGGTCCATAATCAGGGTTGCGGGTTGATTGATGGTGGAACCGTTCTTGGTCGTTCTCTATTTCGAGGAAACCTCCGTGTAGGAAGAACCAATTCACGGGATTCACATTCGTTTCAGGAAAACAAAACCTTGGTAGCCAAGCTCATCATTAAGCATGCTGGAGACTAGTAATCTCCATGAGCAGGCAGGGTGCGTTGAATCCTACTCAGTTGCAAGTGGTGAACCATACGTGGTAATCACGCGCGAGTACTGCATCCGCAAGTCCAGCTTTGCTCACTATATCTTTTGACACTCACTTTCCTTTAATTTCTTTGACAGTTTATTCCTACGAGCGATTCTATTACTCCGCTCAGTTGACCCATGTTTGAGGAAGCGCCAAACGGTGGGTTTGACCACGCAATCAGTCTAATAAGGAAAGGTTGAAATTTAGGTGAACATGGGATTTTTAGGTTTCTCTCCCACGTGCAATCAACTGACAGCGTCAGTGTCAAGCCATACGAATTCTTGAACGAAATTGCCGTGTTCCTTATCCAGTCTACCTTCTCTCGCCTCCTCATGCAAGTAATCTTGCAATCTTTAAAGGACCTGGCGTTGCAAGGAAAGGCTAAATTCACCTATTCAGTATTCGTATACCTCTATGACAACTTGTGGCAACACTCTAAATCGTTGCTACCAATCCACACTGTTCTGTTACCAACAACACAAGTAGGAAACCAGTTTCGAACTGTCTGCTGGGTTAGTTAATGCACACATCGATTCATCGGTGATCGGCGTTCATTGAACTCCTACTGCTACTTTGTGTCAGGCACAAATACATACATGCTATCTGTCAGACGGATTTCCTCGTTATTGGTCAACGTGAAATTTTAGTCACGTGACGGGCACAAGTGTGGTGAACTGCAACGGCCGACGTTCAATCAGTCCTACTGCCAAAGTGAATACAGACCGATCTGGTCTGGACGAAATGAGGGATCTTGCCCGCGAAGAGGGGAACTAAATGTCACGTTTTTTCACACTTTGATTTATGGAGTCTGGGGAATCTGTACGCTTCCTAGTGCGACTTGATCCTAACAGGTCTCGCGAGATTTTGTAGATGAAGTACGGATGAACCGTTACTGTACTGTGTAGGCACATTTTACTCACTGAAGACCACGGCTGGTCAGATACGTCTAGTTGTGTCTTGTACTTGAGGGTTACTGAAATTAGTAATGGTTTGCGGACGATCAAGTTGAGAACCAGGATGATCCTCGGATGAGGTAACTGAGCTAGTGTATTCAAGCAGACATGAGGCTGTTGAATCCGTGGGATCGAGTTCGAATAAGTGAAAAGACTGGTGCACGCACATTCAAAGCGAATACAAGACTGTCGGGATGGTAGACATTGGAAAATGTTACTTTTGGTTTGACCAAACCTCATATACATTGGTGGACAAAACGAGGCTGAAGGAAGAGAAATATTGTGAAGACTTGCGTATATCTTCCTCGACGGCAGACTCAAGACAACAAGGCTTTTCGGAATAAATGCAAGTGCTTACAGCAAAATAAATCATTCAGGGTCTACGTAGACAAGGAAAGGTTTTCCTGTGTTATCCGCTCTCCTAATTCTCTCGTCAAATGGGGTACTTCAGACATTCAAGACCAGCGCACACGTTGACGGCAAACACGTTCTTTTATCGCAAAAAACATATTTGTGCTTATACTGTAGGTCATGGTTGTAATACACACAAAACGCGATCTGTCATCATCACACCGTAGTGGGTACGCGGTTGAGTGAATTCCTTGCCCATAGCGGGTTTCTGACGGGCGGCTCGAAAAGCTATACCGTTTGGGTTGTGAATGGCTTTAACGCTTGCAGGCAGGGTAATTAACCTGGAATGTGCCATCGATAATGGATTGTTTTGATTCAGCTGATTGGTGGACGTGACAAATGGTTCGACCCCCTGTGCACAGCTCTCATTTACTTTAGTTATATCCATATCAGTACTTGCAACTGCATTCTAAACAGCCAGTAGCAAGAAACTCTCTGTATCTCTCCCCCTATCGCTGGAAATGCTGTGGCGAAGCCTAGGTGGATTGCATCTACAGGAAATTCATACGAGCATCGTGCGCTCCACGACCACCAAACTTTCCA